TGATATTTTAAAAATAACCTTTTTTTTGAAACTAACTTTATCAGACTAAATTATTTTTTTGATTATAAGAAATAAACTTATTACAGTTAGGCATTACGTGAAAATTCTAAAGTAAGATCTTGTTAACAAAGTTCGTAAAGCTAATTGACTAATTTATTTCAAAGAATTTTTGAAAGCTATCCAATTCAGTAATGAGGAAATTTTACAGCAATTAATTCATTTCATTTTTGACTGAAATCAACTTTTCACCTCGACTTTCCATTGCTTACTACTGAAATAAGCTTTGTAACATGTAAGAACCTGCAAATCATTGGTAACACTGAAACTGATTGAAAAATTACACTTATTTCTCAAGCATATGACTTATCTCTCTAGTCTTAACAGAATATTAATAGATAATATGAATCAAACTGAGATTGAATTAAAGTAGCTAAGGCTTTTTTGTAAAACTAAATATTTTTGCTTGAATCAACGTGCATAATTACTTGATACTTGGAAAAACATTTAATTACTCAGCTACACATCAACCATTCATTAAAGGGATTTTCACAATGTCAAAATTATATGCATGTAACAGTTTAAATGAATTTTATTAAATTTGAACAATTATGAAAAAAAATTATAATTAATATATTTAAAAAAAATGTGTGCTTTCAATACTGCACAAATATTTTCCATTAAAAAATACCCATCTTCATTTAAACTAACAATAATTTACTCAGAAAACTTGCGACAATTTTTATCAGTAATATAGTTGCATTTTCAGCTTTCCATGCATAACACAAGTCAAGAATTTCTGAACTAAATCATAGTTTCAGTAACATTTAAAAAATGTAACAAAAAAGACAAAAACGAAAACTTTTTATTTGAAGAAGAAAAGCAGTAAAGTACTTTTCGAAGTATTTTTCCATTTAGATTATTTATCAAATTTTCATCTATTAAGTGATAGATGACGAAAATAAACAAGTAGAAGAGCAAGAAAATAAGTGAGGGGAGGCGTTGAAGCGTTGTAATTATATTATTATTATTATTATTATTATTATTACTATTATTAATAAAGACCCAAAATTTCTATGGATAGATGCAGATCTATCATCAGAAATAGTGATATTATTCAATAATATTGATCTAATTATGAATAAATTTGTTGAAAGAGAAATGACTAATAATAAATGACTAAATATTAGATCAGTTTGATTAGAAAACTCTTAGATAAATATAAAATGTATACATCGTATTTACTTGTCTTTTTCGCTTTTAACAGGGATAAATTAGTATCGAAAGATAGAACTTGGAGAAATACCATTTACTGTATTTTTAGGATTACAAAAAACACCCAAATAAAAAAAATCGTTCTTTTTTCATATGCAAACTTTTTCCAATAGAAATAATATATTCGCTTAATTTATCTGAAAATAATATTAACTAAATAAGCAAGCTCTCATTGATAAAAGTTGAGAACATTAATGCTTATCAATTAGTCATGAATATCATGCACTGACCAATTGCAATGCTACTATCGTGACTGAATGCATCAACTCAAACAATATGCCTAACACTAATGAAACTGCAAAAGCTAATCACACGTACATTGCCACTCTGATTACCAAAATTTTCTGAGCTTGAAATACTTATTTAGCCTTTTGCGGCTTCTCAAGAACCCTTTTCACTTGAATCTAACCAGTTAGAGAACCTATACTGGGTACAAACCTCCCACTAACTTATGCCTGCCCACCTGCGCTTATGGAAATTGCAAATGATAATGCGACTCCTCCTCACAATGACTTGCAATAACATGTTCTGAAAACGCTGTATGAACTACTCAGTTCACACATTGTAGTATTTCTGAGCTTAAAATGCGAAAACACTGTTACTACTACTTTATCCACTCAGCACAAAATAAGAATCACAAAGACCGAACGGTACAAAAGAGCTATTCCGTGACTCTTTTCATTCCAAAACAGTGAAAAACTGGAAAACAGGTAAGAACTCACTGTGTACGAGAGTACTATCAGTTAAAAATGTTTTTATTGATACATCCTATCTTATTTTTATACAAATTCCCACTATTTTCACAATATAAAATTAATGTGAAAGTATTGTCAGTAAAATTTACAAAATATTGCCATCCCGAAATAAGTACACAATGAATGAGCGGTTCACAACTGTTTTCAGTTAGAAAGGCACAAAAGTAGCTAAATTTTAGATAATTTAGAAACCAGTGTAATCAACAAATCACAATTACTTTGCTTGGTTAAGGTAATAATAGACCAAAGTCAAAATACCAATTAAAAAATAAGCATTTACTTTCAACACAAACTTTAAAAAACCCTAACACTTCGGTAGAACCTTGTCCTTATTAAAAAGAACATATTATTATACAATGCCGTGAGACATGGAAGTCGTATATAAATACACCACACCAAAAGAGTTCAATAAACAATGTGAATCTGATGACAGATAGATGTTCAACGTGAAAATGATATTATATCATTAGTATCTATAAGCAACGTACAATATAATAATTTGAAGCATAAAAAACTTGCAGAAATTTCTGCTTCATACACTAGGTCATAAATATATATATTTTCACGATAAGCAAATAAAGGTTACTACTATGAACTGATCAGAAACTGAAACATTTCACTAAAAATTCTCTTATTTATCTCGTTAAAAACATCTTAAAAATATATACACTGATACCCTAAAATTTTAACCCTCATTTCTCAGACTTCAATTAAAAATTTAGCATGAAATATCATGCATATCAAATTATTTGTAGCTATCAAAAAATTCTAACATAAATACCAAGTACTTTTTTAAAAGTATAGACTGAACACATACGTCAAAATCCGAAAAAGGAAAAAAAAGCAACTAACTAACCACAAATCCCAAGAAATGTATATGCACCAGAGAATAATATGACTCAAGTCCTACAAAATATGACACAGTGCAAAAACAAAAGATTAAGGCCACTACAAATTATTCAATATGATCGTTAAAATTAATCCAAGAGGGATTAAGCAAGAGCGATGTTATTTAATGATATGTTATGGTAGCTATAATTGATAAAATGTCATATCAAAACTTTGAAACATCTTCTGCTGCATTTTCGGCAAAAATTCATGTTGACCAATAAAGTAATGTGAAAATCTTGACAATACATGTTCTGACACAATCGTAATACCACTTCATTATCTAATAAATTCACTACGTTGGAAGATGAAAAACAAATTCAGCATATATTTTTTTTAAAAACTTAATTTTATCAAAACATTAAACACAATCATTGAGCTGCCCGCTTAAAGATGAAATTTTCCAGTATCTACCTAACAGCACTTGCAGTTCTGAGCAAAGCATTTGTCTACGTCAGACTTCTACATTGAATTTTTGAAAAAATGTTTTATAAAGGACACTTTTTCCAAGACATAATTAAAAACTATAACTGACGCTATATACCGATGTGCATAGTTCTAATATTTTTTTTTTGATGGCTATAAAAACTACATTGATATAAGAGAAACTAGTGCATTTTTAGGATCAGTGCAGATTTACTATTTATTTTGAAAGCACAACATCGTCCGATCAATAATAAAGATTTAACTTAAATGTTCACAGATTTTAAATCTTGCTGATAAGCTCCAATCTTTTTCCCCAGAAAAACTGACCTTAGGAAATAAGCATACGTATTCTAAAATCTCATATTTATATATTTATTTAAAAGGCCACAATAAGTGAAATAAACGGTTGGCAAGAAAGCAAGCAGCAACTAAAGATATTAAAAAATAAATTTACCAAAGTGAAGCAATAATCTCATACTACTTCTCTTTTCAGGATGCCAAAACAAGTTTTATTATCATGTGATTGGCATGTTCACGATCGGCCTCACTTCAATAAATCTAATTTATCAGCAGAGACTTGAAATGGAGCTGCATTCGTAAAAACGGTGGGACTGGCAACTGAATTCCGATCTGAAATTTTATTTTGAAAGCAAAATATCGTCTAATCAAGCTATGAAGAACAGCTGATTCAAATGGCTTAAACAAGTAATTATTATCATCTACGATCTAAGTTTATAAACAAACCAGTTGCTTTTGGTGTCGACAGAGAAGTAATCATTTGGTTCATCGGTATTGACTGCTTCAGAGGTGTTTTTTTAATACCCAAATTATCTAAATCAATATTCACCTTATTTGATGCATCTGCCCATGTTGATGGAATCTTCTGGAAAAATAAGGCTTTCTATTTCATCGTATGACAATACTTTCTGCACCGATTAGTTTAAATTATTTATGATTCATGTTTTCAAATAATGGGTAAAAATTTCAAACAATCGTGGTTTCGATCAACAAGCTATGCAGTTTATTAAATTTCTCTGATTATGAGTCTCCAGCGATTATGAAAACTACAATATTCAAAATGTAAAAGGCTAGCAACTTTTATTACTAACTATACTTCAGCAAAATTTAAACTTTATTAAACAATGAACTTTGGAACAATTACAAAAACAGCATTTACCACTGGTGATTTTGACAATTGTCCTATTTGTGATGATGAAGAACTTGATTTTTGAGAAGCAGTCGAGGTACAATGCGCTGGCACTGGTGTCTATATATATATTAATCAACACAAGACGACAAAAAAAAGATTTGAATAGTCGCTGTAAAAAACACCCACACGGCTCACGCCATATTCTTTTTGAACTTATGTATATTATTAAAGATGTTTGCCTATTTAAAACATTACTACAAAGTAGAACGAGCAACTACCATTCTTCAATACTTGACAGCTGCAATTCTTTATGGATCGAGGTGAGCAAATAGTAATATCTTTGAAAAATAGAAAACAATTATAATTATTGATTTTTTTAAAATAAATGGTATATGTCAACTAACTAGAGGAGTAGATGCTGTTGTAAGAATATTACTGTGAGGAGGCGACTGCACGAAAGTATCAGGCAATGAAACAGAAGTTCTTGATGCCGAACTCCAAAGAGCAGTAGAATCAATCAAGGACACTGGAACTGCAGAATGTGCAAAAACCGGAGTAGAAGTCACTGCAGTATAATCATCAGATGTCATAGATGGTAGAGTGGTGAATATTCCTTGGTTATCATTAATTGAAAAAGCAGTATCTGGCAATGACCTGCAGTAAAGTTACGGAACTATTTAAAAAGCTGCATATCAATGTTTTTCAACTATCAAATAATTTCTCCTTACTTCAAAGCATTTAAATCCTAATTAAAAACGTGAAAAATATTAAAAACTTCGGTCGGAAGATACAACTTCAAAAACAGCACTCAGCATGATAGAAGAAAAAATTGCAATCACATCTGAATTCGAATTTTAAAAGCAGAAAAGTTTGTTGTAAATGACATACTCAAAAGATAAATGTTCGAAACACAACGGCGAATTGGGCTGCTGCAAACTAACTCCCTCGTTCATAACTTTTACAAATGAAGATGATTGCAAATCAGGTGAGAGTCCCAAAGAATCCTTGGAAAATGAACTCTTTCTTTTCCCAGTTTCACTGAATACATCCAGTTTTAACAGATCTTAAAAAATTAAATTTAAACGCTGACTATCAGGGATTTTAGTTTACTTTTCGTACAATAATTTTATATCAGAAGTGTATGTTAATGTCATTCATTACACCATTATATATGAAAATTATTAGTCATATACACTGAAACCCTTTTATCAGGCATGAATCGTTTTCGTTAGATTGCAAAATTAATCAGAGAAACGATTTTCTTTAACAATTTTTTGTCAACTTTTTTAGCTGACATATCGTCTATTTTATGCACTCAAGTTTTTGAAAAATTTAGAACGTTTAATTTATCACCTTTCTATTTTTTATTTTTGTTAAACTCTGAGAGAAATAATACTTTTCCATTACTCTAGTTACAAAATCATAAGACCTAGGATAAATTTTGGAGAAAAAATTCATATTGACAAAAAAAAATGCAACAAAAACCTTTGCTTGGTTGATCAAGTGCCGACACACTGCTCTCAAGTGTTGCATGTTTCATTGCTAAGGCTGTCATATTTGAGCTCGGGGGAGGTGGAGGAGGAATGACAGCCGGAATTGAAACATTTGAGGTAGGCTGCAGATAAGATTTATGAACGGTTTCAGACTGTGATGTTACGATAGAAGTTGGTGAAACTTTATGAATGAGTTGTTTATGAGACCGAGTATTACGAGCAAGCGCGAAATTACCGAATTCATCATCTTCAGTCTCTTGACTTGTTGGCTCTGGAGAACGCTGAAAAAGACATTGGCGATCAAAAAAAAAGAGTTGTACAATCAAATGCCTTAATTTACAACAACTACATAACTGTTTTTCAATCAAAGATTTTTGCAGAATAAATGAAATTTCAAAGTTTATGCCATGAACGAACTTCTCGAATACCGAGTTCTGGACTATCACCCCCACCATGGCTTATTTCTTCGTCTGGAAACTGAAACGAATTTACTTCGCGATGATGGTAAGCATCCCTGAAACTTTTTAACATTACAATGGAAGCGTGACATTCACAACTGAAACAAAACAACGCAGAATTTGAAAGTGACAACCTTCCATCATCATCGAATGAATTTCGTTTTTTAGAAAACTGATTGCTGGTTTTCCAATCATTAAAATTTTCTGGACCACTGCTACCTGGAATAATCCAGAAAAATTAGTATAAATCCATTGTCTTATTTTGTAAAAAAGAAAATAATGCGTATGCTTGCATGTTCTTTTATATTTCTTAATTGTAATTTCTGTAATCTTCATCACTTGTCTAAGCATACTAAAACTGAAATTATTCAAAATAAATTTACATCACACTGCACAAAAGAGTTATATGAAAATTTAGTGAATTACAATTCGATGCATAAGTACTCTTTCTGAGATTATAAAAGATCAATTACAGTTGTTAAGTGCTCAACTACCGAGTCACAGAAACAAATTTTGGAACTAACGAAAAAAAGAATATCCACCCATGCCTAAACGTAAATCGTCTTTCGAATAGCCTTGATACTTTTCCTTGCCTTCTAATTTTGCTTTTTTTCTTTCTGCTTTCAATTTTTCATCATCTTGAATTAAGTCGAAAAGAACAGTTGCACGATGGCGCACTAAAATAAAAAATAACTCACAAGAAATCAGTGTACATATATTGTTGTTCGCGAAATATTCATTGCTTTTGATTACTAAGGTAAATTTATCTAGATTCCATTAATAAGAGACGAAAAAAAAATGCTAATTGAATGCTAGATGCATGCCAAATAAGCATCTGACAGATTTCGTTTTGCAAAAACAAGTCCAAAGTATATTTTAGAACCAACCACGCTCACTTAATCATGGCAAAATAGTAATCGATAACAACGAATTTACACGAACAGTACCTATTTCAACAAGTTTAAAAGAAGTTTCTTCTTTTCACAGGTATTTTCTCAAACATATTTTTATGGATAAACAAAAACAGAGCAAACCATTTAGTCCTTGATCTTTGCCTTTCTCGTCCATGAATTTATAGGATTCCAATGTACGCATTTCAAACAAATGATCACGTGCATTACTTACAACCCGCTCACTGCCATTTCTCAACAAATAATGTAACAACGTTAATGACTGAAAGAGGTCAAATATTATCTCTTATGAGCTTTAAGCTCGAAAAATTAAGTGTACAAGCTGTAATGTAATTAAATGAAAAAAAATTTTCGTGCCTTGTAAACTCGTCTCCATGCATTTCTATTGTCTTGTAGCATGCGCTTCCAAAGCATACTCATGATTTCGGGAAATGCATCATACTGATATGTCATGTGAGCAATTTCGGCCATTTGCGGTCCAGTAGGTCCCCATGGATCTTCATTCGTCGCCTCCCGAACTTTACTCTCGGCCTCTGTATAGTTCATTACCATTCCTTGTCTGCAAAACTTTGGTTGAAGAAGTCTTCAAATACTACGTTTACTACGAAGTTTTATATTTTTTTTTAATAATATGCATCAAAATGAAAGGTTTGATTTTTGATTAAATTGAATCTAAAAGCAATCTATGATTCAGTCACAAAAAAAAACAAAAACAGCAGCTTGTTACTGATAGTAATCGTCTCAGTAAATATGATATTTATTAGTTTAATAACTATTAAATTATTACAATCAGATAACAACTTGTGCTACATAAAGCTCAGTAAAATCATGCATTTAAAAAAAGGGAAAAGTAATATTTACGCTTACACTTTATCACCCAATTTCCTGATTTCATACGTATTAAACGAATCGGCTACTGTTTTTGTGAAATGTGCGATGCCACTCAACAAGTCAGACATATCTTCACCGCAAAGGCTAAAATGAAACAATGATAAGTGCTTCAGAAAACAGACAAAAAATTTACAAAGCTAAGAATGAAATAAAGTATGCAAAGAAAAAAAAAACAAATAAGCCACAAAAATAATCAATAAATAATGAAAAACCATTCGAAACTTGAATAACCACATTATCATTTTCATTAAGAATTAATTACTTGTACTAATTGCTTTACAAGAACCAATCTTAAAAATGATTTAAAATGATAAGAGTGATACACGTTAATTTCACTTTGTAATCTTGGAATACACTAAGCCACGTATGTTATGTTACAACACGCAAACCCTCTTTGAAATGCACAATAAATAAGTAAATGAGTAAACCATGAAATTACTGCTCAGTACACGTTTGGAATACTCTGACGTAGTTACAATGCAACACTCTCATCCTACAATGTGTTCACACCTTTCGTAGTTTCTATTTTTTTTGCTACTGAGTATGAATCGTTTTTGTTAAGTAAATGCTATAAATAAATTTTGCATTATTTGTGCATTTTTTTTTTCAGCACTAAATATTTATGGCTTTTGCTTGCTGAATATTTGAATTGCAAATGGGCAGCTGTTTGCTAGTTCATTCTTTCCTTTTTCCATTCTAATTTGAATTCTTTCTAACGTTTCTATTAGGTTATTTTGTTTTTTAATTTGTAAGGTATTTTATCTTTTGGTTATCAGTGATAAATGGATAGAGTAATTATAAGCCTCATATTGAATAATATCAATAATTGATAAGAATTCAAAAAAGGATTGCCGTTTTTTCTCATTATAATTGCAAGCATAATTGAGTAAATATATTTAATTCATTCAAATAATTTTATAATTAATATAAACTTTTGATTACAAATGTTATAATTAACATTAACTGTAATTTCTCATCACTGCAAGGATTGCATGTTTCATCCAAACAGCATTGAAGTGGTTTTCAATTATTACATCATAAAATAATTCAAACTTGTTTGTAAATTATTTGAATGAGTATTATTATATTATTTAAAATTTTAACTTTAATTAAGTATTGATGTTAATTTTAACAAATTTGTATAAACTACTGTAATAAAGGAATAAAAATTAAATTTAATCGTTTTTATGTTCTTGTATCAGTACTTAACATGAAATATTATTGTAAGTAATTGAAAATTTTTTTCTCTACGAAAGTTTATACAAGGAAAAGATTTTGACTGAGAAGCCCCGTGGGATTTCAGTCTTTGTTATTATGATGCTTTTGAATGAATATGAATTAAAATAAGCAAAAGTTTGATGCCAAGACTCACTTTACTAACATCTCTAATTTTTCTTTTCTATATTTTATAGTTCACTTTATTCTCCCAATTTCTATCAAACATAACTTTTCTGCCATAAATTCTTACTAACCACTCAATTTTTTGTTCTTTACTTTTTTCTTCATTTCATTTCATTGATAACACAGTAGTTTATTACTTGAAGTTGTCATTTTTGTTCATATTTATCCTTCCATGCACTTCTTTTTCACTCTTCGTTTCTTTTTCATTGCTTCAAGTATAATATACATACCACTTTTATATAGTATAGTTGTAACTAATAACTTATTACTTATGATTACTTCCAAAATTCTCTTGTTTTCAATACAAGTACACGTAAAAAATATGCAAGATTTCAATTTATAAAAGTTTTTAATAGTAATTTTTTTTTTAGTTTGTAGTTTTTTAAAATACTTCTTCAAGTATTGTACCTAATAAATTGTACATTAATTTACAGTGCTTTCAAGTGTGAAGTTTGTTGATTTTATACAGTATTGATGATAGCAGGATGGAATTTTATAAAAATAGAAATAACTGCATAGAGAAATAATTTTTTATTCAAATTTATTTAAAAATTTTGCAGCATTTACGTAATTGCGATACACTTGGCTTGTTAATATTTGTAATCATTAAAGAATTTGAAATTTAATATCGTACACAAACGTCAACAAACGTACTTTAAATATAATGTATTGAGCATATGCATTACCTGATTCTAAGCATATAAAATTCTCAGGTATATTTTCAAACAATACCACGTTTAAATATATCAATCTTAATCAATACATCATGCATGCATCTGATATGTTATTAACATTAAGTCAAACTATTATTAATTAGATTTGTGACGCAAAAAAATAATTGCATGAAATAATTAGGATGAAAACTGAGTTAAAACAAGATTTTTTTTTTCTCACTGAAAACAATACTTATATTCTCGATGCTTATTTATTTGCTGTTTTTATAAATAAAAAGGAGATTAAGTTTGGAAAATTTTTGTATTTAATTATTATTTCTGCCTCATCTCCTTTTACCATAAATGAAAATAATAAAGAAGACATCTGATAATTAACGAATAAAATAAATCCGTGAAAGAAAATGAAAGTAGGAATTTTTTTTGACGGAAAAAATATAAACAAAGGAACGTTCATTAAAATAATCGTTGAAATCATTTTATTATAGCATATATTATTATGAGAGTTTTATAGAAATTTTGTTTTAAAAAAAGCAAAAATAATTGAGTAATTCTGTAAGTTTTAGAAAAAAGTTTCTATATTATAAATACATTTGCATATGAAAATTTTAAAAATTTTCTAATTTTGGACTGCATCGTAGATCATTTTCTGAATCAGCATCCATAGAAAATCGAGAATCAGATGTGCAGTCTTGCTGAGAATCTTTTAATAAATTGACTACGTTATATCACTGTAATAAACATTTTCATTAATCTATGTACATAAAAATATGCAATTTTGATAACTTTTCTCATTATCGTATCTTTATATCATTTTAAAGTTTCAAACAGCTACAGCCTTTCTGTTATGAATCACTTTTCAAACAAGATCTTTTTACCTAAACAGAAACAATACTTGAACTTTGACGCTTATTTATTCTCTTTTAAAAATTTTTAAATTAAAATTTGAATATTATTATACTTTTGCTCAAGCGGAAATCATTCCATTGGAATAAAGAGAAGAATTACAAAAAAATTCTTTCTATTGTTTTTTTATATTCAAATTTTCTGTGAAATTTATGTATATACAATGAAAAGTAATAGATAAATATTCTTGACAAAGATTAAGTCAATATGTAATGTGGAAATTAAGCAGATATTTGATAAATCGATGAACAAAAACTTATAATCAGAATAGAAATAGCTCATAAAAATTAAAACTGCTCTTGACGACATCATTTATTGTAAGTGTCCAGCGTAGTTAGTTACTGTTTTAAATATTTGCATAGTCTCAAATATGAAAAATTTTTTGAGTACAAAAATTACACTTTGATTTACTAAAAATTATAAAGAAATGTTTTTGCTAATTTTGATTTTTATATTTTGCTAAAAATTAGTATAAAATTGAACGTACATATCAATTTGAGCACAAATGGTACTTTTAGCGTTTATTTCAAATTCTCTAAAACTTTTCAATAGTTTAATTTTTTTACCTTGGAAATTATGCGAATATTTTAAGATAGTTGTGATGTTATCATAATGTCAGCAACAACATCTGTTACTTGAAATATAAATATACTAAGTCTCTAATGAGTAAGTAAGAATAAAATCAAAGATGCGAGAAAATTCCTCGGGGATCAAGTTATCTAGTTATTTTAATCTAAAGAAAGAGACTACTGATAGTTGGTACTGATGAAGCTGTGCTTTCATTATTATCATTGGTTTCAGTAATACATCTTATCTAATTTTATTCATCATAAAAATAATCAAAGTAATACATTTGTATTTAGTTTCACACTTAGTCTATATAAAAACTACGAAAGCATAATTAATTTTTGATTGCTATTTATTCTATCCCATGTACAAGTTAAAGTTATAATTTTCCTTTAATTACAGACTTTGTTCGAGAACTTTCAAGTTTATTTTTATAATAGTTATGAATTGTAAATACTTGCCAATTTTTATTTTAATATTTTTTATAATTTTAGTTTTTTTTTTAAAATATAGTTCATGGTGTTAGCTACAGCTATTCATTCTATAGATTAAATTTCACTAATTTGTTAAGGTCAAGTTTCATTATAAATCCAGATAGATAGCAGCAACTAATATCAAATTTACTCATGCATATTATATGCATATATTTTGCTGATTTGACTCTAAACTTTTTTGTCTAGTATATATTTATACATGATCAAAAAATAATTATATACAGGATAAAGTATACCAACAGAATATAATTGCACTGAAAGATTTTCGAATATCTGAAAAAGTGTTTTACGCTTTGAAATTATGGATCTTAAAAAAGTATCAGTTTAACTTAAATTTTGAGGATATTTTTTGTAGGTGGGATCGAAATGAGCAATTAACTATGCAAAACTATAGCTGAGAATGTGCTTCATCAGTGATATAATGAAAATGTGCTTGCAAAGTAAGTAGCATTGTTAAGTATGAAAAATGTGAAAGGAAGTAGTAGTTTGTTTGAACAATTAAGTTGTGGAAATTGTTAATGCAAAAAGATAGGATTAATTGTATGCTAATTAAAGATTATTTGAGTAGTAGAAAAAGACGAGATAGTTTTGTTTTGTTTTGTTTGGTTCAGTCTAGATCAAGTGCACATTTCCGCCTTACTGCTAAGAGGTAAACTATGCTTGCAAATTTTATTATTTTTATTATTTTACTTTTTATTGTAATATCTTTGCTTCCTTCCACTCTTCTTTTATTCAGTTCTTGAAATCATTTTGTTTTTTTTTTCAATTTCTCTGCCATTTAGTAACCCTTGTACTTTTTAAGACATACTCTTATTACTTCTTCTTTTCTACTTCCTTAAATCTTCAACTTTGTACTAACTACTACTTCACATATTGCTTTCTATTTATTTATTTATTTATTTATTTATTTATTTATTTATGTATTTATTTATTTATTATCCATCAGTCTGTGCATACTTTAATTCATTCATGCATTCAATCATTCATCTATACCAACTCTTATCATTGACTGATTTCATTTCGCTCATCATATCTTATTAAAATTTGATTAATAATTATAGAGCAGTTTTTCTGATCTCTACTTGCCTTTACAAATTTATTTTCTAGAAAATATTTTCATTGCTGTCAAAATATTGAAGTCAGTCGCAT